ACATGGACAGCGACGTAAGTGCCGATGAAGAATGACTCCTTACCCCACCGTTGCGCGAGCTGACGCTCCGTACAGACGTTCGGTGACAGGTACCCGGCAGAGTTTGAGTCCACTATCGACGTTCTCCGTCTCTTACTCGTCAACCCTGACCTTTTGGACGTCAAGGACGATGACGACGATAGTGGCGATAGTGATGAAGATGAAGATCGCAAGATTTTCGAAGACCTTCTGAAGAGCGGCAAAATCCAGGATGTCGTTACCATCTTCGTGCGCCACGCAGTCAACTACGGCACCTACAACTTGGCTGCCCACGGCACAGACCCGTGTCGCGACAGCCCGCATGGACACGACATGGAAAGGCTCCTCCCTCATGGCGCCAACTTCGATCACATCGTAGTGACTGAGGTGGAAGGGGTCATCCCCGAGGGCCCACCCCGTCGCCGCCATAACCGCAGGAATCGAGGTCGCAACCAGAACGGTGGACAATGTGGACAGCAGCACCCGGTCGGCAACGGCGGGAACTTCCACGAGCCTCCTCAGCCGCAGGCTCAGCAGCCACAACAGTTTCCCCAGCAGGTACATCAGTCTTTCCATCAGTATATCCTCAATGGCTCACAGCATCTACAGCAGTACGGTCAGCAGTACGGTCAGCAGGCCCCCCAGCGTCCTCCACCATACGGCCAGCACGGTTTCACTTTCGGACATGGAGTGTACCAACCTATCACGCCGCAGGGTGGACTGCACAACACCACTCAGCAGATGCAGCAGCCCCTTCATCACTCGCCCCTGACGAACGTCGATGCAGGTCCTTCAGGCGTATTTCACGGACCAGCATTTGGAGGTTCCCGAGGCTCCTTCTACTACACCAACGACCGATCGGCAGCAGCGCCTCTGAATGCGTACCAACTAGCTCTCAATGGAAACGCGCCTGAATTCGCTCCTCAGCAGGGCTACCAGTACGGCAACGGCAACGCACCCGCGTACAATCCTCAGCAAGGTCAGCACGGAAACGGCTATGGCAATACGCCTGCGTTTGTTCCTCAACAGGGCGGCTACCCGAACGTCAATGGCAATGCACATGCATTCTATCCTCAAGGTCAGTACCACAACGATAGCGGTAACGCTCCATCGTTCGTTCCTCAGCAGGGCGGATATGCGAACGGCTATGGCAACGTGCCTGTGTTCGTTCCTCAGCAGTATGGAACCCCGAGCGGTGGTCAGAATGCAGCAGCGAACAATCCTCAGCAGGGCTTCCAGAACGGCAACGCATGAGCGCGTGGTAGGTATAGCAGCTGGAGATCCTCACGGGTGGTTCATGATGGACGATGGAACGAGACATGTTTGAAAGACGTCGAATTGAGCTTGAAAGGATGGACACTAGATGGACTGTATGTAGAACGTTGTCCCTCCTTAGTGAACGTGGACGCGTAGATGTCGTTGGCCATGTTAACGTGACGCGCTTGTCACCGGCCGGATTTTCTCCCCTGCCGAAAGAGTAGCGTGCACAACGTACGGTAGCCACGAATCACAGCGGATGCGACCTCATCTTCTCCCATTTACAGTGACGTTGCCTTCCATCGTCCATTGTAACACGCCTCATTCGCTAACATGTCGCGTTTGTACATTTCGAGAAGGAGGTCGTGAAGCGCAACACTGTTATCCTCTCCGCCTTCTACCAAGCCCTTGGCTGTTGTGTATCGCTTCTATGAAAGTCCCAAATAGGCAGGCCGATTGCGCGAACTCCGAAAACACCTGCGGGCGGTAACTGTGCCGTGAAAATGAACAAAACATGTTGTGTCCTCTCCAACAACGCTTCTAGTCACTACGAATGATCGCGAACTTCCCCTCCACTAACGCCTGACGGCGGTCGCATCACGTCAACGTTCGCATAGAATTCGACACATTGGTCCATAGCATACCTGAATTTCATGCTTTTTCTGCTTCGCGTTCGGCAGACAGGGCTGTATACACCCCACCAACACGACAGCTTGGCAAGCATTGGCACCACTTCCACCGGGCGTTCTATCGATGGAAGCTTCCACCGGGCGTTATCTTTCCCACCTTAGCACCCCTTGGCACTTCTTCTCTGGACGTTGGCCGTGCGTTGGTGGCAATCTAGGGCGAGGCTGGATCGCATGGATAGGCCTTTGACTTACCACAAGACATGCCCTTCTTATCCTAAGCCTGGGGGCCTTTGCTTGGTACCGCGGCCTTGGATGCTTCTCTCACGCGCTTACCGGCGGTACCAGGCCGGAAGTGCATTGTAGCATCAATCCTTAGAACGAACCAGGCGTAATCTCGTAAGCCTTGGAAGTGCGCAGCGAATGATGAGGCCATGATAGCAGAACAGAGAAGCGCATGTGCAGCGTCTTCTAGAGTGGAACCTTGACCGCTCGCGTGTAACCCCTGTGCAACTCTGGTCCAATACCCAAGTCTGGACCCTTGTACGATATGTATATGAAGAGGGGCTTGGTACGGCTTTTGCAACTCAGGCGTGTGTCTCTTCTCGTCCACTTGTGATCATTGGCATCTGCCCTCCCAGGACTCGTCCATATCTGAGCGTTCGTCGATCGGGCATCACTGCCCTTTGACTTTGCCATGGCGTACAACACCAATGTCAAGGCCAGCCTTGAGATCACCAAGGGTGCCACTGCGACTGATCCTATTCCGATTGACGCCAGCTCGACCAACTCGTTCCAAGATGAGGGCACACATCTCCTTGGACCATTCCCCACGGAGGAGGAGTGGGCGACCCTGCCACGAGTAGCGGGACGCATTGTAAGGCCCATCCAGCAACTTTCGCGAACAAATCTAAAACTATATAGCCATGGCAAGCGTGGACTGTTGCTGCGGTCGAGTTCGTCGAACGTTTCTCCTATTACGGAACGAGCGCCGTTTGTATGCTACATCCCAATCTAAGGCTTTGATCGATCACTGACAGTAACCTCAGTCGTCAACTTCATCCAGAAGCCGCTCCCGCCTGGCTCCAAGACTGGTGCTGGTTTCTTGAAGAAGCCCGGCTCCGGTGCTCTGGACATGGGCCAGCGCGCGTCCACCGGTCTCACCATGTTCAACCAGTTCTGGTCGTATATCACACCCCTCGGTGGCGCCTGGATCGCTGATGAGTACTGGGGTCGGTACAAGACGATCCAATACTCCAACTTGCTCGCTGTCATCGGTCACATCGTCCTTATCATGTCCGCCATTCCGGCCGTCATCGTCAAGCCCAAGGCCTCTATTGCAGTATTCGCTGTTGGTATTGTCATCATGGGACTTGGAACCGGTGGCTTCAAGTCCAACATCTCGCCTCTCATTGCCGAGCAGTACAAGGACCAGAAGGCGTATGTTCGTGTTAAGAAAAACGGTTCGAAGGAGATTGTCGACCCAGCCACTACGACTGCTAGGATCTACATTTACTTCTACTTCCTCATCAACTGCGGTTCAATCTGTGGATCCCTCGCCATGGTTTACTCGGAACATTTCGTTGGTACGTTTTCTAGACGGCGCTGTTGCAATCAGGACAAAACTAACAACGTCAGGTTTCTGGCTCTCATACACTCTGCCTACAATCTGCTATCTGGTTTGCCCCATCATCTTGGTCACGATGAAGAAGCACTACAAGCTTACCCCTCCTACCGGCTCCGTTATGGGCAAAGCTTTCAAGCTTATCGGCCTCGGCATCAAGAAGTCCCCCATGAAGAACACATTCAAGGACGAGGGCTTCTGGGAGCGCATCAAGCCCAGCGCATTTGCTCAGCGCGGCGAGTCGGTCCCAGCATGGATGACATTCGATGACGCCTGGGTCGACGAGGTCAAGCGCGGTATCGTGGCTTGCAAGGTCTTCTTGTGGTACCCCCTGTACTGGCTGGTCAGTTCTGCTTCACGGAATGATTCTTTAAACGCTATCTAATACGATTTCAGGCCTACAACCAGATGACCGGTAACCTTGTCTCTCAGGCCAACACCATGAACCTCGGTTCCACGCCCAACGACATCGTCGCCAAGCTCAACCCCATCTTCATCGTCATCCTAATTCCATTGATGGACTTCTTCATCTACCCAGGTCTCCAAAAGATGGGCATCGTCCTTTCGCCTATCAAGAAGATCACCGCCGGTTTCGCCCTCTCCTCCTTCGCCATGATCTCTGCCTGCGTAATCCAGCACTACATCTACACCATGTCACCCTGCGGCAACCAGATCAACAAGCTCAGCAAAACCCGCAAGGACTGCAATGCAGACATCTCCGTCTGGGTCCAAGCCATTCCCTACGGTCTAATCGGAATGTCCGAGATCATGGCCTCCATCACCAAGCTCGAGTACGCGTACACCAAGGCGCCCAACAACATGAAGTCCACCATCCAAGCCATCGCTCTGTCTACCTCTGCCTTCTCCGCAGCTCTTGGCCAGGCATTCGTCAGTTTGTCCGAGGACCCACTGCTCGTATGGAACTATGGCTCTGTTGCTATCATTGCCATGGCAGGTGGTATCGGTTTCTACTTTACTTTCCGCAAGGCAGACAAGCACGAGGATGCCATGAACAACATGAAGGAGAGCACGTATGTTGGCGGACGGGAGATTGGTGATGCGGAGAATGTGGAGCATCACAGCGTGCGCGACGAGAAGATTGAGAAGGGTGCTTTCTGAATCAGAGGATAGGTCGTTGGGTTTTCATGATATCAAATTGATGGAAGCTGTTGATATGAGGATCTTGGTGTGCGTATTATATACCCTAGTTTATGTTGCAATGTCAGTAGTACATGATAAGGTTGCGCATTACCCTTGGAATTCACCTTTAGTTGCCTGCTTATCTAGAACAAGTCTTACTACAACACACTAGCAGACCTACACTCTCCTCGCCTAAAATTTACAACCCCAGAGAAATTTCACATCCCAAACCACTTCAAACTCACTTCTCAGCCCTAACCAACCCTCCCCAACAGCCAGGACCTTCAAAAAGAGCAAAAAGAACGTGTAGAAACGCTTGGTACACGAATCGAAAATGCCTAGTACCCGAATCGCTAATTGAGATTAGTACTATATGATATGAATAGATTAATGGTTACTTACAACGAGCGATCTTCGCATTGCTATGGTGTACAAGTGCGACGCCTTACCACTTGGCCAACCAGGCTGGTAGTTGAATATTATAATTTTTGTAAAATAAGACATTCATATACTAGGTTAAAATTGGGGCCCTGAGAAGCTAGGGGTAAAATTGGGGTGGGATGGTATGCTCGGTTCAATAATTCGATCGTTAGGTGGGGTAGAATGTGTTGGGACTTTACAGAAGCGAATGTGGGGCTGTGGAAACCTAGTCATGAAGTCTGCGTGCACATGATGGCAGAAGAGCAACGAGTCTACGACGTCGCAGCGATATGATGATGATGGTCTTTAGAAATAAGAATGAGCTTTTCATATTCATGTAAATTCGTACTATATTTTGTAAATGCTAAAGAGCGACCTCTCGTCCCAGAGGTCTGCAACGCTCCGCTATGCTAGTCCCCATATTGCAACGCCACGCTAATGCTACGCTCCCAATTTGCCTAAAATCCAGATGACAATTCCAATTGTACCAAAGAAAAAGCCCAATCGATGAATTACGCAAGACCAAAGAACCCCATGACTCTCCGCCTCAGCTCAGCGCCCATGGCCTTCCTTGTGTCCTCGGTGCGCAGCGCAGCCTCCTTGTTCTCGCTCGCTCGGCGCAGCAAGAAGTTCAAGCACTCGGTGGTAGTGCCCCAAGTCATACATTTGACAACCTTGGCCTGGGTATCCTTCTTCATGACAGGGTCCTGGACAAGTGACTGCGAGATCTCGTCTGCCATGCCCTGGAGCTGTGCGTAGGTGAGGCGGGGCAGGTTGTCTGCGGGTGTAGTAAGCATCTGCTCGGCGCGGAGCTTCATGGCTTGCTGAACAGAATGTAGGTTGTGTGTTGCGAGAACGATGTTGACGGGCGGGAAGGGTGTGCCTGGCGTGGGGGCGGGGACCTTGTCAGTCCATTGCTGGCGGACGACGGCATCTGCACAAGCGTCGTAGTTCTCATCTGTACCCTGCTTGGTGTCGAAGGTAAGTTCTTTGGGCTCGGAGGTCAGATATGCGCCGCGGACGAGCTTGACACCGGCGATGTAGCCCTCCTTGGATGCCTTTTCGAGGTGCTGAGCCAGGCGCTTGGAGATGTCGCGGAGGTAGCATTGGTATGTAACGTAGAGAACTGCGCGGCCTTGCTCAGGGGTATTGTACTTCTTCTGAAGGGCGGTGGTCCATTTCTCAAGACCGAGGTTGGTGACTTCCTCTTCGGCACCGGGGAGGAGGCTTACGCCCTTGGCTGCAGCGGCATCGCAGGCGGCAGTGATTGCGTCCCACATCTCGGGGGTGGCGTCCTTTTGGTTCTGGAGGAGGTTGAGTGCATGTCGACCGAGGCCAGACCATCTAAGCGATCGTTAGTTTTGATTCTCCAGTCACGATTGGAGGGGAGCTTACTTGAGGCCGACAAAGTCACCTTCCCTCGCCATGTCAACACTTTGGAGCATACCCTTGCGCCATGTCTCAATCTCCTTCTTTGTCTCTTCAGCAGTCGGCGCCTCTCCACCCAGCACCTCGAGAGCATATTCAAAAAGGATACCACCATAGCCCAGTGTGCGCGCAAAATCGGTGTTTCGGACAACCTCGTCCTTTTTCTCACCTACGCAAAACTGTGCGTAGAAAGTCTTTTTTAGAATGGTTTCTAGGACTGGGTTCTTCTCAATGCTCATAAGAAAGGACTTGGAGTCAAGCATCTTCCGTAAGATGTTGAAGCAGAGTGTCAGTAGGACTGGCGACGAGGACATGGCAGTGATGAGGTATGACCGTAGTACGGTGGAAGTTGGAAGGGCACCTAGGACGGCCTTTGTCGTTGCTCTCCGTTGAGGGGTGTTGAGGTTGAGCAACTGTGAGGAGGTTGAAACAGGGGATGACGTCGGTACCGTGACATCTCGCCGTGAGCTCGAGTGGATGAGGCGTGGTGTCTGTGTGAGTGTGCGGCGGGTGTGGTGGATGGCGAGGCCCTCGAGACGCTGGATTTGCTGGAGTCTTGAACGCATGTTGGGAATCTGACCTTGTGTGTGTGTGTGTGTGTGGGTGAGCAGATGTGACGGTGTCCTTGGTGTTAGGTATAGTGTTCCAGATCAGGGCGTCCAAGGTCTTTGTAGTTGTGAGGCGGGTGTAGTGGTCGGCCGGGGCTTCCGTAATGCTGCCGAGTGGTTGAAATAGGAGCGCTTGGGGTCTTGTGACCTCTCCATGATGAAGCTTGACGCCATATATACAGCCAGGTGATCTTCTGTTTGATCCAGGGCTTTCGACCATGTCGCGGTTTCGCGAAGGTGAGGCGGCTAGAGTCGGCAGCGTCCGTGCAGCACAGCATCGCGCTGCAGACTTACGCAACCGCAACCGGCTCTGCATTGTCGCATCACGTTATTCGAAAGGTGATTGGCCAATGCTCGCTTGTGCAGTGTGGAGTCCTCCATCTGGCTTGGTCGGAGGTTTTGCTCTCAAGAATGTGGAAATGTCGCCAGGGCCTTTGTGAGCAACAAAGAGCTCTTTGGATGCGGCATTGGAGCGTAACGTCAAGGGGCCAATATGGCGATGACGCACGTGTGCCTGCCCATCACGAGAAACACCACATCACAGCTTCAATGCTTTCAATTCTGAATCTCTCCATCACGACCATTTGAACAACCATAGCAGCGTTCGTCTAACAGTACACTCACTTCCCCACAGTCCGCAGAGCCCACGCTTGCCTATACTCATCGTTAGCACGCCTACGCACAGCTCTTACAGTGCCGCGTGGCCACATCGCAGTCCCAAATAAGAGCCGAAGCAAGCCAGGACGCCAGTCACCCTTGCTCTTCAACTAACGACATGTCGAGATTTTCTGTCCACTCTACTGACAGGCGACATCTCCACCCAGGCCCAGATTGCACCATCAGAACCGGTATCGGATTGTCTGCAGATTGTGCGAAAAGTTCGCATGTCGCCGTGGCGTGGTGCGAGGAGGGCCGAAGCGGCTACGGAAATCGTCGGCGCTCCACACAAGCAACGCTTGCTCCACGTTTCGAGTCCCACTCTGCTGCGAGACAATGGACGTGCGAACGCTTTGGTGCGGGAAGCTCTTCACTTGACATACTGACAGTGCGCCTAGTCATGATCTTGGGGCAATGGGCATCTTTGTATCTCCATTATATCGACTACGGTACACGGATAAAGTCTTCACCCAAGAGGCTATAAGCAATCTGCTCGACGACATGTTTCTTCGGAAAGTCTAGAATGCACAGTCCTCACTTTAAGTATTTATGCCTGGGGAAAGTTGCTCGTCAACCCGTGTTTGCCACGAGTCCGCTTGCATCTTCTCCGAGGACTACCTCCCATCGCTCTGCCTCTTGGTCTGTGTAACCCGAGGGGTCCTCTTCTTCAGTTTGTTCGATATCCTCTTGTCCTCTTTGATCGACTCTTCTACGATCGGCTTTAGAAACATCGATGGTAGCGCCGTCATGTTGTCTTCTTCCAACCCATCCCAGTAAGGCATGTCCTCCACGTCTTCTGCGGTAACGCCGCTATGCAAATCTAGGTCATCTTCGGGTCTATCTTCGTCGCTCGCACTATGGCCATGAAGATCGTCCGTCCTCCGTGTGCTTTGCTCGTCTATTGGATTTCTTGTTTGTTCGCCTGCCTCGACTGGGATTTCCGGACCTGAGGACGAGGAGTAGAAGGCTATCGAAATAGTCGGGTCCGATTGTGCATCGCCTCCGTCAGGAATGCCTTTGTCATGACTCTGGCTCATGCACTCCGCCGGCCGCTCGACCCCAGCAATCGCAAAGGTCGCGTCGTGGTCGTCGCCTGGCCGAAGGCCAATCTTGAATCTTTTCCAGGCCGTCCCTAAGCTACGTCTGGAAGTCGACAGCTTTGGTGATTGGGGAACCGTGCTCTGAGGCTGTGGACGATGGATCAAGACTGTGTCTCTGCATCGGGCCCTATCATCTCTTTCTGCTTTCTCGCGGACCTCGCTGATATCTGACATCATTGGGAAGATATCTAGTGGGAACGCCATGTTGCTGGACGAAATATCAGGGATGTGGATGAAGAAAGCTCTGATGTGCCCTTTCGACAACCGGGGGTACAATGGGTGGCGATATCCGATTGCGCGTTTGTAAAACCCGGACGCGGGAGTGAGGGTGTTTGCTCGAGGACAAACCAGGTTTTCATGTGAATGTGAAGATTGATTGTTTTGCTATTAGCTCACCACAAGATCCCTCGCGCAGCCTCACATGCTCACCTCCGTCCTCGGACACCCCGCACGCAGACGACCGCTCCCTGACCGCCAATTCTACTGATAATATGGCGTCGCTATTGTTGGCACCCCCGCTATGCGCCAACATCGTCGATGGCTCTCAATGCACCAAGCTCGCTCTCGAACTTGCGTGCGCAAAATGTCGCCTCGTTCACTACTGTTCAAGGGAGTGCTAAGCAGCGCATTGGCCGAGTCACAAGAGTGAGACTTGCCAGCATGAGCTTCTGCGCCCTGCTTGGATGCCCAATTCCGCAAAGGAGCAGCGTGTGCCAGACTTTGCCAATGGAACTCGCGATCCCAATGTCAATATTGGGGTAAACAAATTTCTATGGGGTCAAGAACCGGCGCTCGAGCTCATCAGACTGGATATGAACGAGAGCGTAAGTGATCTGGCACGCAACTTGCACATTCTATGTGCTGCATCTGGTGATCCAAGACACATCATCAAGAGCATCGCTTCCCTTCCTGAAGAGTACGGCGGTAAATGCACAGTGGTAACAAATGATGCCGACTTCGAGATCGTTGCTCGCTCTATCATCTTCTTCCTCATCGCCGGTTTCATGCCAGACGAGGAAGCAGCTCCAACCATTATCCATCTCTGGTCCTCGGCCATGATTCCATCGAGCATGCTGCATAGACTCCAAATTAAGGTCCTTCCGCTTATCCGAGACGTTTGCAGCGAGATCTCCCAGAAGGCCTCCACTACTACGCTCGCAAAGACGTTCAGACTTGACTCCGGTTCCTCTGTCCGCATCGTGCTCATGAAAACACAATGGTTCAAATTGCAAGATTACTTCATAGTTCCTGCT